ATGCTGGCTCCGGGGTCCTGTCTCCCAGTCGGATGCCAGGCTGTGACGGGTCTCTGCGCTCAGATGCCAGATGCTGTGACGCTGGCTCTGGGGTTGTGTCTCCCGCTTGTCTCCCTGTGTTTTCTAGGTGTCTCCCGCTTGTCTGCGGTCAGATGCCAGAGGTTTGGGGAATTTGTCTCAGTCTCTGCGGTCGGATGTGTCCGCTTGTCTCCCTGTGTCTGGATGTCAGATGCTGTGACGCTGGCTCCGGGGTCGCGTCTCCGGGGTCGTGTCTCCCGCTTGTCTCCCAGTCTCTGCGGTCGGACGCCAAATGCTGTGATGTCTCCCGCTTGTCTCCCTGTGTCTCCCAGTCTCTGCGGTCAGATGCCAGATGCTGTCGGGGTCGTGTCTCCCGCTTCTCTCCCTGTGTCTCCCAGTCTCTGCGGTAAAGGATGGTCCCGGGCAAACCAACTGAAGCTGCTTCTTCTTTGCAAGTTTTGGGGCTGACCTTGCTGTTTGTTTAATGCTAACAGCCCTCAACAGGGTCCCGGGCAAAGCCAACTGAAGCTGCTTCTTCTTTGCGAGTTTTGGGGCTGACCTTGCTTGTTGCCAGCTGGCTGTTTTCCTGCTTACAGCCCTCAACAGGAAAAATGAAGGTCCCGGGCAAAACCAACTCAACCCGTTTCTTCTTACCCATTAACCGGCGTTCGGCTCCCTTCGGCTCCCTTCGGCTCCCTTCGGCTCCCTTCGGCTCACGTGGCAGCTCGCAAGCGCAATTGAGAAGCATCAAGCTAGAAACATAGATTCGACAAGTCAGCAGGAACCACTTGCAACAATGTTCCGCAACGGGGAAAGGGCAGGTCGCAGATTTTGCTGTTGGCCTGTGTGCAAAGGATGTGCCTCTCTCTCGGTCAAGCGCAGGATTGCATCCTTGTGGAGCATCGTTGGAGCTACAAGCAAGCAATGTCGAGCCTCAAATATGTCTATCTTCCTCGATAAACAAACAAATCGTGACATCCGGCTGATTGGTTTGCTCAAGAAACTGAGCTGCTTTTTAAAAGCCAGTGCCGCACTTCTTGGTCAAGTGCAGGTTTGCATCCTGGTGGCGCACCAGCAGGGCCCTGTCGAGCCTTTAATATGTCTATGTTTCTCGATAACAAAAGCAAACACATAGTGACTTGCTTTTTGGAAGCCAGTGCCGCACTTCTTGGTCAAGTGCAGGTTTGCATCCTTGTGGCGCATCAGCAGAGCCCTGTCGAGCCTTAAATATGTAAACTGGTTTCGATGGACAAATACGGCTGATACTGAGCTGCTTTTTGGGCCAGTGCCGCACTTCTTGGTCAAGTGCAAGTTTGCATCCTTGTAGAGCATCAGCTGAGCTCTGTCGTGCCTTAAATGTGTCCATTTTCTCGAAAAACAAATATACTGTCACATCCGGATAATTGCTTTCTCAGGATTCTGAGCTGCTTTTTGAAAGCCAGTGCCGCACTTCTTGGTCAAGTGCAGGTTTGCATCCTTTCCTGCATCAGCTCAACCAGTACCGTGACATCCGGCTGATACTGAGCTTCTTTGTGGAAGCCAGAGCCGTACTTCTTGGTCAAGTGCAGCTTTGCATCCTTCTGGTGCATCAGCAGAGCCCTGTCACATCCGCCTGATTGCTTTGCTCAGGATTCTGAGCTGCTGTTTGGAAGCGCCGCGCTTGTTGGTCAAGTGCAGGTTTGCATCCTTCTGGCGCATCAGCAGAGCCTTGCCGAGCCTTAAGCACGCACTGTTGTTCTCGATGAAAAAATACCGTGACATCCGCCTGATTGCTTTGCTCAGGATTCTAAGCTCCTTTTTAGAAGCCAGTGCCGCAATTCTTGGTCAAGCGCAGGTTTGCATCCTTTGGCGCATCAGCAGGGCCCTGTCGAGCCTTAAATGTGTCGCATCAGCAGAGCCCAGCCAAGTGGCCGTAACTGCCTTGACTAACTGGTTTGCATCCTTGTGGCGCACCAGCAGAGTGCATCCTTGTGGCGCACCAGCAGAGCCCAGCCAAGTGGCCTTAACTGACTGGTTTGCATCCTTGTGGCGCATCAGCTGAGCCCAGCCAAGTGGCCGTAACTGACTGGTTTGCATCCTTGTGGCACAGCAGCAAGTGGCCTTAACTGACTGGTTTGCATCCTTGTGGCGCATCAGCAGAGCCCAGCCGATGGTTTGCATCCTTGTGGCGCATCAACAGATCCCAGCCAAGTGGCCTTAACTGACTGGTTTGCATCATTGTGGCGCAACAGCCGAGCCCAGCCAAGTGGCCTTATCTGACTGGTTCGCAGCCTTGTGGCGCATCAGCAGAGCCCAGCCAAGTGGCCTTAACTGACTGGTTTGCATCTTTGTGGCGCATCAGCAGAGCGACTGGTTTGCATCCTTGTGGAGCATGAGCAGGGCCCGCAAAGTGGCCTTAACTGACTGGTTTGCATCCTTGTCAGCAGAGCCCAGCCAAGTGACTGGTTTGCATCCTTGCTGTAACTGACTGGTTTGCATCCTTGTGGCGCATCAGGAGAGCATCCTTGTGGCGAGCCCAGCCAAGTGGCCTTATCTGACTGGTTTGCAGCCTTGCGGCGCATCAGCAGAGCCCTTAACTGACTGGTGTGCATCTTTGTGGCGCATCAGCAGAGCGACTGGTTTGCATCCTTGTGGCGGTGGCGCATGAGCAGGGCCCGCAAAGTGGCCTTAACTGACTGGTTTGCATCCTTGTCAGCAGAGCGCAGCCAAGTGACTGATTTGCATCCTTGCTGTAACTGACTGGTTTGCATCCTTGTGGCGCATCAGTAGATAATTGACTGGTTTGCATCCTTGTGGCGCATCAGGAGAGCATCCTTGTGGCGAGCCCAGCCAAGTGGCCTGAACTGACTGGTTTACATCCTTGTGGCGCATCAGCAGAGCGATGAAGGCACTGGATGACCAAGCTACTGCCGGCTCAAACACTGAGGATTTTGTGGAGCTGTGCCGGGTGACAGAGGTGCGCGCCAAACGGGCACCTTTGCTGACGCTTGCCAATTTGGCGCGGCGTGTGCCTGCGTTGCTAGGCGAGGATGTCCCGGCCGTAACGCTACAAGGCGCAGTCTGCAAGTTTATGCAAGTGCTCTCTTGCTTTGCTTGTGGCAAGACCTCTAGCCGAGCTCGAGAAGAAGAGAGCAACCAGAAGTGGCATGTGCCCAGTCTCGGCCGCAAGCTGCTGAGACTGATGCGCAAGTTTCAGCAGAGTAGCGGGACGGCCACCAAATGCTGCGGTGATGGAAAAGTGCATTGAGTTTCCGTACTACGAAAGTCCCTTCGAAACTTCCTTGATTAATGCCAGGTGTTAATTAGGTTGATTCACCCCGAATCCCCGGGGCCTTCACTCTCGAACATGGCATTGACATGGCATCTTCTCCTCGAAGTCGATGAACAACATTGATGCTTTACCCAGCGTCAAGGAGATGGATGGACCCGATGTGTCCTCTTCCCAAAAAAGGGGACTTCCTACAGGGACATACATGGACTGATTGTAACTATGTGTTGCTCACAGAAGCTACTCAATGTCGCACCTTACATGAAGGAGACAAGCCTTTTTTGGGGTTATACAGACCTGTCATGCTTTCTTGCTGTTTGGGGTCGAGGCTGGTGTAATTTCTATTGCTGGCTTGGGTGTGCCCATCCACTTGCTCAAACAAAGGGGACCCACACACACACACCACAAGTGCCACACAATTTATATCAATGACTATTTTGCTCCTAGCTTAATTTGATTTTGAACCGCCACTCCCAGTTGTCCGACCTCTGCGTGGATCGTGGGTTTCAGCCACCGGCAGGACTTGACGAAGCCCAAGGTAGAGGGGGAGGCTGGCTCATCCTTTGACCGTGTCTTCAAGACAGGGTGCCCTCAAAGAAGAGATGCCCAGGTGATTTAGCAGGGTTCATTGATCGTACATACTTCGCAGTGGTCATTCTGAGGCCTGTGGTTGGCTTCACATGGTTGACCGTATATTGACATCATGAAGTTCCTTTAAAATCGACAAGGGGCCCCGTGTGGGTTGTTTGAAGCAGGGGTCCTGCCATGGGCAACCCATAGCACGCAGGTGGCGATTTGCAATGGTTGCTTCAGACGGAAACCTGAAGGCAATCCCTCATATTTTGCCGATCCCCATGGAGACAAACCAAAGTACATCCAGCGGGGGAGCATGTGAATACGTGTTGGGACAACGCACATTTCCGACAACAACAGGGGAACAGGCCCCAATTATGTCCGCGCCCCCTTCTTTGGAGCAGCACCATCCCCGAACGTAACTTTGATAATCCCTCAAATTGCTCAATTACATCCACCCAGACAAACAATTTCACGGAACAACAAAAATCCTGCACCTGGATGTTGTGCATCCCCTTCAGCGCGTCAGGTGGACGAGAAGCTCCAAGCTCTTGCCGAGCAGTGGCTTGCCAAAGGGTTCCGGGCGGTTCCGGTCGGTCCAACAGACTCACTTGGCTGTGGCTCGAAAAACCGCTACCACAATGGAACCCTGGTTAGTGGAAACATGGACCATTGGAAACATGGACCAACACCTGCGTAGCCCCTCCTGTTTATTTTTGCGCCACACCCAGTTCGGTGTCGATGGGTTCCATGTTTAGTTGTGTTGCATCGATGAGTTCCTTGCTGTTTGGTCATGTTTTGCTGAAGCTTTGTCATTGTTTGTGTTGTGTGCGCTGGAACCTTCCATGAGTCGAAGCCTTGGGCAGGGTTCGGATCAAACCAGAGTTGGCTATGATGGCTGCCTAGGGCATGGTTGGGACTCCTGCCCTCGCCCACTAATAGTGGACGATGAACATTTGGATGAAGAAGCACTTCTATCCGGTCTCCAAATTGTGGCTAGCGTGTTGGGCGTCCAAGGTATGGTCCCTTCTTTGGGTTTTTTCCCACCACTTCGTTCGCTTGAAGCCAGAATGGCGCCACGAGTCAGCGCCATGGCTTTGGGGGGAAGGCTGGGTTGCACGTATGCTTAAGCCATCTTAAGCCAACTGGGGAAGGAGCAACCTTTTCTTCCAGCCCCATCCCCTTCAAAATGGAACCCACTGCCCTCTCCCTGAGGGATGTTTTCCAACGATGAGGGGGCTGAAGCGACATGCCGACCTTTTCGGGCCCCTCTCGGGTCGCCCTTCTTGACAGCCCATCCAAGCACTGTTTTGCCTAGTCATACTGTTGTGAGCCACACTCATGCTGCTGCAAAATCAGGCTGCCGAGACGACAGCATCATGTTTGAACACTTGACCACCACACATTGAAACGATATGCACTTCCTGGAAGCTGATAGATTATTGAATCTATAGATCTGCTTGGAAACCACTTCCTTGTAGAAGGAACCTGCACATGTGCAACATGCAAGAACACATGCAATCACGCATGCACCCACCGACGCTTTTGCATGTACACCCGTTGCTCTTGTGTTCTATCAAACAATTCAGGCTGTCAATTTGATGGAGTCCAAGATTAAGTTGCCCGAGCAACCTCGGGACTTAACATCTAGTGAGTTTCCTAGTTGAACCCACCCTTCAACCATACATCAGGCCCAGGATTCGCCTCCGTCAACAGACCACGTGTGCAGCGCGTCACCCCGATCGGGTTACCGAGAGAGTTTCACGCAGGGCCTCGGTACGGGACTTGCTGAGTGCGGCCATGGTGCGCTTGGACAGTAGCACAGAGTCGCAGCGCCGGGGGGCTTAGAGGTAGCTCCCTGGAAACCTAAGCGAGCCACAATCAAAACCCGGGTAGATGAAGATTAGTAAGGGGCAATCCCAACCACACATGGTTGCAGCCGCCTTCTTATTCATGACGAGGTTTGGGGTATATCATGTTAATACCGGATTTTGGTTCTGTCTCAAGTGATGGTCCCAAAAAGGTGTCCTTTTGATCGGGAAGCCAAATATCAAGCTGATCTAGTACTTGGACACAAACAAAAGGACTCCCTCATACTTTTAGGTTTGGTTAAAAATGGATGGGTTCCACTGGTTTAGATGGGTTTTATCCGGGCTATCTATTGTTCCAAACAGCCACCTATGGATGCACTTCTGAGTCCCCAGCAAACTCTCCACTTTAAAGGGCTCCCATCATAGTGCACCATGTTGGGATCTCCTGCAAAATTATTGGACAGGTAGACTACACATGAAATAACATCTGGACGTATAATGTTCTGCGTACTTCAAAGATGGCCAACATGAGGGGCTTACATTCTTTTACATATTCCCCACCATGATCGTGACGCAAGTAGCTTTGATAATGCCCGACAGCCACATGCAGTTGATCACATGTGTTTCTTCCACACCCGACAGGTTTATGGCTGCCTGCCGTCCACCGTCGGCTGACAGACTACTTCGACAGCCTGTGACAGATTGTTTTCACAGACGTCTGCGACAGAGCCTGTGACAGACAGGAACTGACGGCCGTGACAGCGCCAGTGGCCGGACAAGGACAGCTGTGACAGGCTGAAGCCAGAGGCTCCTTCCAGGGGCCTCAAGCTTCCGCCACAGCTGTGACAGTCAGCCTGAGTCTCCCGCCAGCGGCAGAGGCGTTTCTCTCGCTATGAGCTGTTGCAACAGGAAGTTTCCATCGGCAGGCGGTGGTTAGATGGTCAGTAGCATCCGACAGGCCCACCGCCCGTCCACAGCCCGCCCCCCTCCCCGCCGGTGGATAGACGCTACTCTTTTGGCAGCCTACGACAAACTCCGGTAGCCTGTGACAGACAGCGCTGTGACAGGCAGGAACTGGTGCCCGTGAGGGCCAGAAACCTGAGGCTGCATCCAGTGGCCGGACGCTCCGAAGCCTGAGGCTTCTGGACCAAACCAGCCGCGCCAAGCCTAAGCCTGAGGTTCCTGCCAGTGGTGACACCACGACCAGCGTGACGGTTAGGAGCTTGAGGTGTTCTTTTTCGGGTGATCCAGAAAAAACGAGTGTTCCTTGCACATGGGGTTATCGATTTTAGGGTGTTTGCTGTATGACGTTTGGGCGCGACATCAAAGTGTATCTCCTCCCTGCTTCATGTCGAAAGTATATCCATGACACAAAATGGGTACTTTGAAAACCAGTTAAGTCATCATCATGGGGGCAAAGTGCTAGATACCACCCCACATCCTCCTATTTTGCACTGCGCGTCATTGTCAAGGCCACGCCAATGTCTCGATCGATAAACTGCTCGCATGTCCATTGGCTAGGACAACGGTGGGACTGCAAAGGAGGATCGCGTTGGCTTTTGGGTTCAGTGCAAGGTAGGGTGGGTGCCAGCTTGGCTTGTCTAGTGGGGAGATGATTGCTGATGAGGGATCGGGATCCATGCTTGTAAACAGCTTGAGGCGCAAGTGTCACTCGCAACAAAACCAGGTTGCGCGTGGCCGCCGAGGATCTAAGAAGTTGGTTGCCCAAATGATCTCCTCCCTGCAAATGATCATGGAGGATGAGCTCGTTGACATGAGGCAAGTGCTTTAAACGGGCGGAGGGTTGCACAATTGCTCAAACAAGAAGTGGCTGCAAGGGGCAGTTTGCTGGCAGATTTGCCGACTCCTAGAAGTGGGGACCTTCTTGGATGGTGTCAATGGGGGCCATTCGACAGAAACCACTCCGTTTGAGACGCATGTTTTGCAGAAGTCTGTTCGCTGTTTGATGTGCTGGTGGCGTCCGAAGGAGGAAATGCGGAAGGGCTACCGGCTAGCTCAGAAAGTGTGAGTCAATTGTCACTTGTTTTTTTTGTCAACTGCTGCTTGTTTCGTAGGGGCACTTGCTTGCGTCCAAAAAGCGTCACCGTGCGGCGGAACAAGCTAATCTAAGAAGTGTCTTCATTTCGTTCTTGAGCACAATACAAGGTGGACCGCCCCTGAAACAGTCACCATGTACCCCGGAGTCCATCATGAGTGGTGATGGCTTGGATAGTCGCCAGGAACCACCAATCGCTGACTTGTTGCAAGATTATCACAATGAATCGATTCAATTTAGGTGGAACTAGGGCAACCTAAGGAACAGGGCTCGCGAAGTGTCCGACAGCAGTGTAAACGGCTGCCAATGTCAGCATGTCCATAGCAGGATGAAGGCTTCTCACTTGCTGAGTTCCTGCTCTTTATTTGTTTTGTTGGGATGACCATGTTATTGAGAAACACTGAGTTTGGACTTGTTAATCAATCCACTCAGAAAGTAAGACGCAGATTCCTAGCTGATTTTGAGACATTGCATTCTCTTTACTTGATATGGATGATTGTTTTTTGGTTTAGAAAGCCATGGCTTCAGTCTTGTTTCAGTTGTTCTTCGGTTCAAGTTTCCCCTTTTGGCCTATGGACGTTTGCGAATCTCAGAAGTGCTGGAAAGCGGCGCGGTCACCGTATTTGGCGCCGCGTCACCCCGCATTGCATCAGGGGCATCTAGGAGTTCAATGCCCAGACGATGTCCTAAGTCCCCATGCCGCATTGCACGAGGCGTATGGGGGGCTGATTCGCCCCGCACCCTGGCCTTGTGACCGCTTGCCAGGCTGTGAGTTTCGAAATCCACGGCCGGCCAGAAAAGACGGACACAACGACTGCCTGTCAGTATATACCGCGCATTCGCGTTTGCTGGGTGTGTTTTTTTTTTCTGGGATAGTTCAGGGAAAGCCAAAGACAACCAATGACCTGGGGTCCCACGTTTTCAAAAGCCCAGCTGCACGTAGCGGAGACGGAAGGAGCCACGAATGCAAGCCATGTGGAGCAGCAAGCCCTCCTTTGCAATGGATGCGTGAAAACCTGAGCTGTGGAACCACTGAGTTGTCGAAAGTGACCCCATACTCCAAACACTCAATATTTTCTTGGGTGCACTTTGAGAAACCAGGTTGTCCAAGGTAAACGCCATGTTTTTTGTTGGTGGGGTTGACCACGGTGGATATTTGGAGAGGGGAGTAGGTTTGAGTGTCAGCTTCTATGATACCGAGGGAATCCACTTTACAGTGGTGAACCAGTCACAGGGATGGGGATTGCGCGTAAAGGCACACTATTTCAAGTGATTTCCCCCAACCGTGATTGGACAGCACCGAGGCAAACATCAATCACATATTTCTTGCTACACCAAAGTGTTATCAGGCTCCAGCCGGATGCATGTTTGCCGCTCCATGGTTCACAGTCAGCCTGAGATGTAAAACTGAGATACTTGCAGAAGTGGCACACTTCATGCAGACCTAATTCAGACTGCTTGCTAGCTCCAATTCTCGAGAGAGTATCCTTGTGGCTAAGCCATTGCGGGCAAGGCGCACTCTCTTCTGCCGTTGCTTTGAGCCCCTGCGCCTTCAGGAGCATTCACTGTGTGAGCCACATTGCCCCAATGCGCAAGCATTTGGGCTGTGAGGCTCCACGGCCAGAGACATTTGCGAGACTTGGCTTCAAAGGAGCCACACGTGAGCTCGAGGTGATCACGCTTTTTATCTGCCTGGGGCCCAAGCGGCACCGGTTTGGCAGCGACTTTGACACCCTACGTTGCAAAGACTGATTGATACGCCAGTTGACCTGCACTCGGCTTCATCCCTGTGGCCCGGTGGCCTAAACTCAAAGGGCAAAGTCGCGGGGAGCTGCCAACCCCAAGGTGCTGCTGGCACTCGCACGTCGATGAAGCTGGCCAAAAGTGATCTTGCGGGTCCAAACAGCAGCAGGACAAGGGCAGGATGGTCAGACAAGGACTCAAGGCGACCACATCTTGATATACTATATTAAAAAAAACAGCCAATTGAGGCATGATATTTGTGTTTTCATGTCCCCTATGTTTATGCACTGTCGAACAGGACGTGGCAGATTGACCACTGCAGGATGAGAACAAAGCAGTGCGGTTGACTGTTGGTGGAGGAAGTGCTTCTCGAAGACTGTGTAATTGGTTGTTTTTGATCCCAGCAGAACTGACGTGAAGAAAGAGTCGATATGTTTTACCATTCATGTTACTGGTAATGACCTTGACATGTCTATTGTTGGTGCTGCAGACACCATGGTATACGGATCCACTTGGTGTTTAATTTGTCATTGTTCAAGGTCATTTTGACGTTCCCTTTGGGACGAGGACTTCCCCCTCTACAGGGGTCAAAGTGACTTCCCTGTGATCTCTGAGAGTATCACATTGATCTACACGGACAGGACATAATGTTTGGTGTTTGCGCTGGATCTTCAAAGGCGCCAGTCTTTAGGGTTCCATTTCAGCTGGCAGTGCATGAAGGCCCTGCCTTAGTTGGGTGAAACGCTTACACTTGAGCTGAGGGTCTACTCTGTAGAATGGGTTGCTCAATACCGACCCTTCAAACTTACGAAGGATGGTAGTGACTTCCCTTGTAGTGGTGTCTGACTACAGAGTACGGATTAGTGATTCGGCAGCACTATTCCTAGTTGTTGCTTTCTAGCTTTCAGGTGCCATCCATTTGTCAAGCTGACATTTTGTGCCTGAATCGCACAGGGCAAGGGGCTGTGCGCAGACCATTTCAAGTTACAGCAACCTCACAAAGAGGGGTGGCGAACTGAGTTTTATGCCCTATTATAGTTACTGCCACTGCCCCTGCCCAGTTGTCTTTTTCCTGACAATGGGAGCGGACATGATGACGGTAGTCCAAGCCCTCCGTGCACTTTCATGCTTGTTGTAAAGAGGGTGTTGATGGCTAAGCAATCCGTGTGTTGTGCGTCACTGTGCGGGTTGCAGGCCTCGTCGTGGCAGGAGCCGAGGCGCGAACGGACGGAGAAGTCGGGAAACTCAGCGGGGTTTTGTTCTGGTTGGGGCAAGTCGAACAGTTGCAAACTATTCTGCATGAGGATTTTCAATGTGTAGTGGTTTCGCAAACATCTGAAGGTGGATGTTAACACAATCAAACCGTGAAAGTTGCAGAATCGAGCTCACACCGCTCGTGTCTAGTTGTGTGCATACCAGCGAGACACCCCTCCTGGGTCGGCTTTGGGGTGGGACCCTTCGCGAACGCAAAACCTTTTTCCCCAGAGTGAGAGGCTCTCAGGCCAATCTCAGCTTGCCAGAAGATTTGCATCGCAGGATCTGGGCCCTTAGCAGCGGTGGCCTTCAAAGCAACTTCTCTTCCGAGAGCGCCTCATGCGGCGCTCACTCCAAAATTTTCCAGAACAGGGATCACGCAGATGCTCTTACACATTCAATTGCGAGGTGCCAAGTGTGAGGCTCTATTCTGGCTGTGTGGCATTGAATGTGATCAGGCAAGGGGGCTTAAGCAGTGAAGATGCGCGGGTTTCGGACACCTGCTGGCAAAAGTCTGCCATAGCAGAAGGTCGCATTTGGTAGTTGTGAGTGTTTGCTGTCCGCCATTGGCGAAATGCGCTTGGGACGAAACATGTCTTTCTATAGGTTAGCACTTGCCAGGTCTCTCTTGATCCTTCCCCGCCGATTGTGCATTTGTCACATATCAGACATGCTTCTGTTTGTTTGGATGGCCGGCTGCCTGGTTGCTTGGCTAGCATTGATCCTCAGCCCTTGGTTGACGATGTGGAAGGGCTCTACATCCGTTGTCAACTGGAAAGCAACGTGTAAAACCAACATACCCAGCCCAACAATTAGGCAATGTTGCCACGCAGTTGGAGATCTCCCAGAAAGGTGCTAAATCTGCGTTACTCGCTATACCCCCTTGCAGATCAACATGGAACCAAAAAGGGATTCCCCCAATAGCGGCTTCCTCTGAAGCAACTAGCTTTGTAGCTTCCATGTTGCTATGTATGTCCTCAACTCGCTAAGCCCCCTTTTAAATGAACAGGAACAATCCGAAAAGGGACCCCCGCCCCTTCCCCCCCCACCCAAAACAAAGAAAGAAAAAAAAAGGCACTCGCAAGAGGTTGAGGCCTTGGAACGGCATCGATCGCATTCGATCGCCTTTCCCAGGCCAGACATGCCGATGCCAACGCTGCAACCGGCTCGGCACCCGGGTTGGGGAAGCACAACGTGCAGTTGGGTCCACTGGACGCCGCATTTGGTGAGAGCCTGAGAATCCAATTGAAACCCAATCATTGATCATCAGGATTTAACGTTGGTAATTTTTCGGGATGTCACTTTATTGGACCCAGATACATCTGTTGAGTTAGTTTCTGCTTCTTCTTGGAAGGTTTGTTGCGCAAGCCTGGAAAGCGAGGGAGATGCCTTCTCTTTGGCGTTTCATGCGACTTGGAAGGCGTGTGGCTTTTTGTTCAGGCTGGGTTTCCTCCCCCCCTTGGAGGATCCCAATTTAAAGTGAGAAGGTAGTCATGGGAATCAATCACCTTGGTATTGCAAAAAGGGCATTTCTCACAACCACGCCGCAGGGCTTGAAACTCGACAAACGTGACCTCTTGCGCCTTTGAAAGGCCCTGTCCTTTTGCCACAGATTTCTCGACCCAGGTAATCACCCTTTTCATTTGCAGGTCCTGTGACGGGATGCGGAACCCTGATGAATCCCGCACCGACCAGCCGGGAAACCCAACAGGCATTGAACCACAACACCATGTCCACGTTCAGTGTTTTTAATATCTGGTGATTTCAGTTTCTATGGGTACTCCAAAAGGCAGTAAGAGTCGAAGTTTTCTCTTTGGGTCAATTTTGCCCGGGAATGCCGAGAATCCGGGTCATGAACAAGATGTACCCCCCTATTTACAGATCACAGGGAAGGTTCCCTTTTCGAACAAATATGGGGTTATGATGGTTGTTGTGACACTTCCTGTCGCGTTGCTCCGTGTGTTTCCATGCAACTCAGAATGGGCCCGTTTCGGCTCCAGGTTCAAGCACACCTTTTCCACGTGCGCCCATATAAATTACGTAATGAGGTGTGTCACACTCTCGGTCTATAAGGCGTGGCGCCCCTCAAGAATGAAATCAAAGCAAGAATGGGGTGGCCTCGCCTGACTAGCAGCAAAGCTTATTGCGTTGCAAGCGGGTACTTGATGGCACTTCAGGTTTTGCCGCAGGAACCGGTAGGACAAATCCACTATGTGGACATTGGTCCTTGGCCCTCGAGTCAGTGCCTCGCAGGTTGCAATGTGCTCCAGAGAGGTTCAGGGATCTCCATGTGGGAGAGGCAAATGGGTGTGTGTCAAAATAGGGGATCCCATAACTAGGTGGTTTCTAAAGCCACTCCAGAAAGGATACCCTCAGCAAAACACATACCCAAAGTTCTGTTTGTTCCCCATCCTCTATGTTCCATGGGTTCTCTCTAGGTTTCCCACTCGGACTTTCCATAGGGCAGGAGGACAGGACTTTGTTTTGGATCAGGGCCTCCAACGCCCTTTAGCAACAGCCGAGTTGAATTCGATTTGTTTGGTCCGAGGTGGCAAAGGTGCTAGCCATTTTGGTTGATCCGGAGCAGAGGGCTTTGGTATTGGTTGTGTCACAGCGTTGTTCAGTACTCTTTTTGTCCACCTTTGTTTGTGGGGTCCTCCTAGCAATGGTCTACCTTCTGGGGTTCCAGTTTTTCTGCACCCCTTCTCCCTTATTTGGTGGGTTCTTCGCACTGTTCGGGCTGGCACTGGTCAGTTCTTGCCACGAAGGTTCTGGCGCACTTCGCCTTCACGGCGAGCTGAGCGAACCCGGCGACGAAAAACTGGGATTATTATTTTGACGGTTTTGGGGGGGTTATCAAAGTCAGAACATGGGGTTGTTTTCCTCAACCCACCACTTTGGGGGTGACTTTGATCATGGTAAAAAAATGATGCCAGAAAAAATAAAAATAAAAGAAGGAACGGGAGCCGAGAACCCGGCGAGCGAGCACCAGAGAGGATGGAGCACGAGAGAGGTTGTCAGATGTCGAGGAAGGTCAAGTTCTGAAAGCCGTGACATCTGAGATTTGTGGCTCAGGCCAGGCCTACAACATCCTTGCTTGATGTTTCCACTGGCTATGTTTTCCCTGAAGGAAGGAATGCTCGGAATTTGCAAATTGTCAATCCCATGTGAGACCCAGCTCCGAATGATTGGCATCCATGGATTGCAAGTTGGAAAACCGCCCGTGTTGCTCGCCTACAGCACCTTGCATGAGGGAGTGTCGGGCCTGTGTTGACTGCTCCAGCTGCGCAGCTGGCATCCTGGATTCCAAACGCCACATTCTCAAGCACAAAACCTCGGAGGTGTATCAAGAAAGGTCACTTCGTAGTCCGGAAGCTTACCATAAGGCTACGAGGGATTCGGTCGAGGATCACCGCCTGACCAATGTCCATGTTGGGGGGGAACATGTACTTATATCGTATCAATTGGGAGGACCATTTTAGCGGTTAAACATAGTTCAAACCTTCGTGGGCCAATCCACTGAGGAAGTGAGAAGATGAGACCCAACTTCAGGTTGCGCAATTTGGGCAAATTATAAATGTGACCCGCAGTCCATACGCTAGGGTTTCTGCGAGGATGCCTCCTTCGCGGGATGAGTCCTTCTGTTGAATCACTTTGGAAGCTAAACAATGAATTTGGGGAAGCACGTCAAAGTGGGAGGGGTGTTTTTAATGACACACCGGTTTGAAGATGGCAATGGGCAACAGCAGGGACACCACTTCTTTGGGGTTCCTATTTTTCAGTGGCTCAGTGGATGTTAAGTCTACGAACCCAGGCTGAAAGCTGCGCAAGCGCGGCCCATGCTCCGAAGAATTCGCGCAACACAGCGGTGATTGCCAGGTGGCAGTGTAAAGCGCGTTGCCCATCGGGCCAAATGCAACCCAGCCATCTGGGGTAGACTTAGGGTACGTTTTACATCTTACCAGTAACTCCATGTGAAGCAAACAATAAATTCCCAGGCGAGCTACAGAAAGCTACAAGACCTACACCTGCATAATTTTCTGCCGATCCCCAACCCTATGCGGCTGGGCCCCACTGCAAGCCCAACGCCGTTGGGCCTCTTTGATTCTATGTTTGTCCTGGACCCCAACTGTGAGCTGCTTTGCATGGTAACCGCATTCATACAAATATGTATGGGTATATGAGTCTATGTTTACATACATGAATTACATATGTATATGTATACAAATACGCGCACACTCTCATCCAGGTCTCTGTGTGTCCGTCCATCCATTCAGCTACACACACACACATTTCCATGAAGCCATGCATACGTGCATCCACCCACCCACCCACCCGCCCACCCACCCACCCACCCACCCACCCACCCACCCACCCACATCCATCTACAGCTATCCAAATTCATCCATATCCGTAAATCCATAAATCCGTCCATCCATACATGCATGCATGCATGCATACAGGCCTAGCTGCCTGCATACATACATGACGTTTGCTGGGCTTGCCGGTTGTTTCCAGACTCGTTCATCGCTCACTGCCAGACTGGCTGCCGCTTGTAGGTAGGAAATGGCCGAAGACCGGCCACCCGCGCTCCGTCAACGCCCTGTGCGTTCGAAGTTGCCACGGAGCTGCGTGCCTTTGCGTTGAGGATGTACGTGATTCATGTTGACTCACTAACGAGTTTCTTGCGCAAAGATGACTAGTTTCTTGGGGCATTGGTGCAATCATGGGGCTAGAAGCTTCCCTCATGATTTCCAGCAAGAAGTTCAAAATGGGCCCGTCATGTGAGATGGCTCCCTTTGACTTGTTTGCCAGTCTCAAAACATGCTGCTGATTGCTGTTTAGTGGCTTAGGTTTTCGCTTTGAGCCGATTGTGCTGGGGTGGGATTGGGGTTGATTCCCATTTCTGCGACACTGAGCCTTTGCTTGTAACATTGAACTAGTCATTAGGAAAGCCTACCGGCGTCACCGAAGTGGTACGTACCCACAAGCCAGCCTGAAGCCCGTTGCGCTTGAAGCAAATCAATCCAACTTCCCCGATTTTTCCACGAAATGGAGCGGCATCAGGGGCGCAGGTTCTTTTGCCAGTGTCCAGGACCAACGTTCCAGAAGGTTTTCGGGGGGTCCGGGGCTGTTGGGGATAATTACCGCTTGGGCTTTTTGCTTAGGTTTTGATTTCTGATTCTGGTCATTTGTCAGTTGGGCTGGAACAAACATAGTTGTTCTCCTAACATGCCAAGTGTTGGAAAGGATAAACATGCATGTCGAAGTAATTAGAAGAATTGTCCAGCCGCCATCAATATTTGTTCAGCAAATGTCTTCTGGTAGGGTGCGGTTGTTGGTGTAATTGGACAATTTCTGATACGGCTGCTTGAAGTATTCAATCATGGCTCAGATGTTCGAGGGCTGCGCCTTTTCTGGGATTTTGGCATGAGGTCGAGGGATTCAAGTCCCCTTGAGCGAACCTCAGACTATCGCAGAGCCTTCGCTGTGTGACTCAAAGTTCCATGGCAGCACAGCTGAGATTAATGTATTATGAATCATGTGCTTGGAGTGTGTTCAAGACGTGTGATGTGCGCTGCCCAGCTTTGCCCTGAGTTCCAAAGACGTCAGATCCTGAGCATGGTATCTGAGCCGCAAGGCCGGGCGGTGCTCATTGCGCTCACTTGTAAGCACTTCGAGCATGACTCTGCAATGCTCGCCTGCGCGAAAACGGGCACTGGCACTGCTCATTGCATTGTGGCAGACTATAGTGGCCTGTTTCAGGTTTCCTTGTATCTTCCCTTTGGTGGTTTCTGTCATCACCTGGTGGGCAATTTTTGGCACGAGTTTCCGTTTGCTCCCATGGGGAGACCGACATCTCATGCCTAAAGGGAACTATGTCATATGAGAATCCTTTGTTCCTTGCGCGTTTCTTATTCCAAGTTCAAGAAACTAGTCATGATCCCTGGCATGAGCCTACGGCTTCGGACACCAAGCAACGCAAAGCTGATCAATGGCACCACGTTTCACCGATTTGTGTTTGGGTTCACCAAGGTCCCCACCAAAAGGGGTCAGGTTCCCCACCAAACTGGCACCACTTTTTACCGATGTTTGTTTGGGTTCACCAAAAGGGGTCATCCCCCTACAAGCGGTTCCCTGTTTTCTATGAAGATCCCCGTCCGGTTTTATACAGCCATTTCTAAGAGCGAACAATTCTAGACTTCATCCAGATCACCAGGGCACCACTTCTGAAGCCCACTCGCGAGATGACTTCGGAGTGGTGGAGTACCGGGTCGGTATTTCAGCAAAAACACATATTTGCAATAGGGACGGACTTCTGTTCAAAACCAACAGGGAAAATAGAACAATATTCTTGGATTGTCTCCTTTTTTGAGTGGCCTTGTTTGCGATTGGCCCACTTGTCGCCTGCAGTGGAGACCTACAGTCGTCTTTTCCCCTCCGCTTGCTTCATTTGAAGCACCATGTGGGTGGTGCCTGAAGGATGGGTCCGGTATAAACACTTGGTTTTCCTTTGGTTTTTGCCCTTGTTAGTGTTTGGCAGGCCCAGGGTGACAAGGTTTCATTTTGAGGGGACGGAATGCACTTGGCTGAAATGGCTGCCGCGGCGGCCATTTTGGCTCAAGTGCCAAAATAGCTTTCTTTTCGTGGTAGTTGCCTCTCCTCGTGATGCTCGGACATGTTCGTCGTGCGGGGTGGGCTACTACACCAGTGGACTCAGCGGTCAACCTCCGCCGCTTCGAGCTCTATGCTACCGGGCTGCAGCGTTCCGATGTTGCTGCCCTTCTTGAGGAGGTATGCATCTTCTTGCACCGCCCGTTCTTCTCTGTCCCCGTCGTGGTTCAGGGCCTGGAGGTGGTCGAGGTGCCCTGTGTCGAGAGCAACTGCAATCGCTGCTTGTCGGGTAGAGGGGGTTTCCGGTTCAACTGGGTCCACCCTGCTGTGCCGGGGCGGTGGAGGCCCTCGGGGGGCGGTCTCTCCCCTGCGCAGAGGAGGAGCGGGAACTTTCCTGGGAGGAGCTCGTGCCGCTGGTGGACACCACGGTTCACATGGACTCCTTCTACCCGGACTTCATGCGTTTGCTCTTGGACCGGCCCCATGACATGGTGCCTGTCCCGCTTCTCATGCATGCCTGGGCGATGTGGACTCGGTCCGCAATCCCCGGATGGCGCCCGATCGGCGTGCAAGGATCGTACGCCTCGAGGCCCGGTTTGCTACAATGTTGGTGGTTTGGCACACGCAAGCACGGGGAGGACATGTTCTCCTACCTCCATGCGCATGGTGTGGTTTGCCGACCGGCAACTTCTGTGAGCGATGTGATGGCCCCCCTTGCAATGCCTGTGAAGAGCAGTTCACCTATTGTGTGCCCTGCCTTCAGCGGTCGTTTGAGGATTGAGGTGCAGCCACCAGGCGCAGTTGGGAAGCCCGCCTGCGCTGAATGCGGCAAGCGCATGCTCATCACCAATCTATGGCTTGTGAAAACCCTCATGTACCAGGTCACCACGAGCAGGAAGCGCCAGAAGGTCGGGGAGAACCTGCACACGGATGTCCAGGAAGAGTGCAGGGCTACTTGGAGGCCGGACTCTGGGGGCCGATAGTACCAAATATGTGGATATTCCGTTGGACACGGTGATGCAGTATTATTTCAGGGCAGTCCGCACCGTTGGGCAGCGGGCGGGCCATGCCCCTGGAGCACCAGGACGCGCAGGAAAGGGCTCAATGGGTCCAGCTCTACAGGCAGTCGCAGCGTCCCTTGGGTGAGATTATCCAAGAGGTCATGCAGCAGCGGGATGCCCACTGGGCCGCAGAGAGGCCCGTCTTTCCTCCTCTACCACCAGCCCTCAGCCAGAAGACCGAGACCAAGCAGGTGCCTTCTCAGGAAAAGCCGGTCAAGTACGTCAATCAGGCAGGGGAACGACTCTGCAAGGACTTCCAGGCAGGTAAGTGTACCTCCACAAATTGCAAAAAGGGTGTTCATCGTTGTGCAGTTCTGTTGCGGAATGGCAAGGTCTGCTACATGAATCACCCCGCGATCCATTGTGTGGTTAAGAAGACCATGGCTTGACGGGGCCCCGCCGGCGCCAGTGAGGCAGGGGCGCTGGTTGGGGAGCATGATTCCCCGCCTCAGCAGGCTCCCCCTCAGGCCTTGGATCTTTTCTCAGGTCCAAACCAGCCAGTGGCGGCAGGTTTCAGGTGGTGTGGCTGGGACTGCATCGCTGTCGATGGGTGTTTGGACCCGTCGCATGATGTCTCGAGTGAGATGCCAGGGATGGCTTGCTCGGTGCCAGTTTGTCATGGTTGCCTTTGACTGTAGTACCAAAAGCCGGGCCCGAGAAATCCCACGAGTTTTCCCTTATGGGTCACATGCGCCTGCTCCACTTAGGTCCGATGAGTTCCCTTGAGGCCTTCCCACCCTTTCTGGCAGGGATGCCGAGCGGGTGGGCAAGGACAACCTGGCCTGTGTCTTTGTGCTCCAGCAGCTGCAGGCGCACGCCCTACAGGGTGGAGTGTCGGTGAGGGAGAACCCCCGGAACAGCTTGCACTGGTCCCTGCCAGCCAAGGTAGCCATGCATGAGTCTGGCGCATGGTACGACTATGACTATGACTCGTGCGTTTTCCAGGCAGGCGGAAGCAGCGGCTCAGACATAACCTTGCCGAGATCGCTCAATGGCCGGATGGAGGTTGCCGCCACCTGCATCAATCTCGTGAATGGGCCCCGACGCAAGAGTCTGGTCGCAGGTACTTCCCCACGAAGGAGGAGGCAGAATACACCGCGGCGCTGGCCTTCTCCATAGCTGTTGCGGCGTCCTGGTGGGCGGTGCGGATGGGGGTCGCCAGCCTGAGGGTGCCTCGCATGCCCCATCTTACACCCACGGGAGATCGAAGGTCATGGGTGGACTGGCCAGCAGCGGCTACAAGGTCATGGGCTATGGCCCCAACTGCGGTCCTACTGGGCCTGGACTTGGCCAGATGCGACGGCTATCAGTCCATCCCCAGACGAAGATCCATTTCGGAATTTGTCCTGGAGGAGGTCAAGGCTCGGGGCCTTCCACATGACCATGTCCCATCGTTTGCCATCCACAAAGTGGGCCACTCGCTTTGTGCCTGGACAGCATGGGTCTCGTGAACAAGATCTTGCCGCATGCATCTCCGAGCTCCGTGGCAAGGTCCTGGTGTGCGATTGTGCGGAACACCAGCTTTGCCATACTGATGTTCTAATTGCGGAAGCGGCCGCATTGCGCTTCCCCTCTTTTTAAAAAAAGGCCGGGGGGCACTTCCGTCGGGGCGTCCGCTTAGGACCGTGATTCTGGCAGGGATGGCCCAGGCTGGACTCCGTCCTTGATCTTTGTGCAGGACGCCAAGCTCTACCCCCCGGAGTTCACCTTGGGGCTCAAGGCCTGGCCCATGATCGAGGACCTGCTGCAGCACAAGATCTTCCACCAATATCGTGAGTGGCGTCTGCAGGCAGGGATGCCGGTGGACCGGAGCCCTCCCATTTCAACCGCTGCGGCCTCTATGCGTGCCGTGTTGGCGCAGGTAGGCAGCAGGGAGCCCTCGCGCACAAGGCGGCGCTGCCACCGGTCGTCTCCTTCGGTCTGGAGCCTGACGACCACTTTGCAGCGTCGTTGAAGGCTAGCTCCCAGCCTTCACCTTTGGAGGGATTTCTCACTTTGGACGATGACATCCACTTTGCGGCCGAGGCGACCTGGCAGTCGCAGTCTTTGCCGGTTGACCCACGGATTGGGGCCATCGGGGTGCTGAAGGAGCTGGCCAGGAGGTGGATGCCCGTCACCAAGCACCTTCGGAGTTTTCAACTGGAGTAGCTTCAGTCACCAGGAACCGGCACATCGCCCTTGTGGCCCTCCTTTCCCTGTTGGCGTCCTGGCCCGATCACGGACTTGCCCTGGACCTGGTGGTGGGTTTCCCGGCGGTTGGCTATGCTCCCCCATGTGGAGCCTTTGCACCGAAGCAGGTGAGCCCCATCACCCTCGCCAAGGTTCTGAAAGAGGCAGCTTCCCACGACCTGGCCTTGCTTAGGACCATCCGGCCGGGCCAGATGGACCAGTTCATCCTGGACAGCGGCCTCAAGGACGCAGGTAAGGGCTTCTGCACGGAGCCCTTGAAGTGGGAAGATCGCACTAAGCATGTTAATCATCGTCCTGTCAGGCTCATTTTTAGATTCGCTATTACTCAGAGTACCGGCAAGGTTCGGCCCATCGACGATGCCGATAAGGGAGGGCAGAGCGAGCTGTCTAGTGATGGGAATCACTTGGAGTTTCGCTCGGCTTTGAGGCCCGCGCAGCATGTCTGGGCGTTACACCAGGCTGCTCTGCGGCATGGGTCCTCCATCACGCAGGCCTCTGCAGGGATGCAGAGCGCAGGCGAGGACTGGCCGGTTCCGATGAAGCCGGATCAGGCCGAAGCATGTGTGGTGGTTTTCTATCACCCTCAGTGGGGAATGCCTGCCTTTCAGTTATACTATGGGATGCTTTTTGGTCTCCCCCTTGCAGTCACTTCGTTTAATCGGTACAGTCGTTTTTGCGAGGCGGCGGTGAGGCGATTCCTGGGCACCCTTTTCTCGATGTATTTTGATGATGGCACCATTCAGGACTGGGCTTCCCCCAACCCTTTTGCACAACAGGCTGTTTCCCAGTTCATGCACCTTCTCGGGACACTGTGGGCAGAGGAGAAATCGCAACCTTTTGCGACCTGCGGGGATTTCTTGGGTTTGGTCCATGATCTGTCTCAAGTCACCCAAGCAGGAACAATCCGCTTTTGGGCGAGGCGCTTAGTTCTGGAGTGCTGCGCGCAGGGACGGCCAGCAAGCTTTTCGGTTGCACCACTTTCTTCCAGGAGGGCGTTTTTGGCAAGGTGGGCCGGGCAGGCTTAAACCCCCTCAAGGAACGGCAGTATGACAAGCTGGTCCATCTGGATGGACCACTTGTTAATAGCTGTTTGCTCCTGGATCCTGGAGGCCTTGATGGCGGCTAAGTTCCTTGTGGGCCGTGGCCAACTTGGAGTTGGGTCGTGACTGCCGCTGCCAACAGCCTCCATCTTCTTTCACTGCGACCCCTTGACGTGGTCTGGAGCTGTGCCCAGCCAGTATTGGGGCCGGGTGGTTAAGTTGGGAGCCTGTTGGAAATCGCTGCAATTCTGGCCGTGGAGCAGAATTGTCAGTGGTTAACCAATGCCATTAACACTCAGAGACACAGACCAGCGAAGTGTGAAAACATCTGAGCTGCTTGGGTGGTTCCTCCCCCAAATGATCTTTTTCAACAACCCAAAAGGGCCCCTTATATTGGCACACCAACAAGTGGAATGTGTTGTTCAGTTTTGCTCACTCAGTGGAGAATGGTGGAAACTTAGCCGCCATATATGGCAGATTGTCAAGAAAAAAGAAATAGAGCCGACTCTCTCAGGATTGCGGATTTTGTATCCTGGGATTTTCTAGCTATGTCAGGTACCCTCAAAGAACAAACCCCTGTGTCATGGCTTCCACCATGTGCGTGTGCCGCAAGCTTGTTTGTGGTTCAAGGATGGCAGTGGTATGTAGAAAGCCACTCAGCCGCCCATGCATTTGCACAGATTAGCCCCCATTGATCAGATCAAGCATCACCATGCGTAGAGTGGGTTTTCTCAGCCTTGCTGTTTTCTTACTTAACTGTATTACTTCTTTCCGGAGGCTGGCACTATGTAAGTGCCCTGAAAAGCAAAAAGTTCAGCATTGGCAGGGTTGGTGCTGTAACTGGCTAGTTGGCAATGTGCACAACTGGTTG